TGCTTATATTTTCAATATCACTTATATTTTCATTCTTTAAAAAATCATCATACTCAATACCTTTTATCTCATCATTTGCTCTTTTTGTAAAATAAAATCTTTGATGTCCAACTTTCATAAACTTTACAGTAAGATCACCGACTCTTTGTTGCTCCTCTCTGATATCTTTTATGTCTCCTGATAAATTTGTTATAATATTTGTTATTCCTTGCGTTGTTAACTCTACTAATCTTCGCTCAAGTTCCAGCGGATTGTTTATCAATCGATCTGTTTCAGCTTGTCTATCCGCAGGATCAGCTATATTTGCTGTAAGTGCATCAATCAATTTTCTTTTTTCTTCATCAGATCTAGTAACAAGTTTTGCAGCAGCTGCTTCTTGTTGTTCTCTAACAATTCCAACCAAGCCTTTTTCCTGCTGTTGTTTAAGTTCTTCTTCTGATAGTGGTTTAGTTTCAGGTTGTTTACATAATAGTGCTTCAGTAACCGGTTTGAAAATTGTAGCTGTTGCTTCTGTAGCAGTTACTTGCCCACGTCGCGCTTCTTGTACTTTTTGCTTAAGTGATGCCTGAGATTGAGCAAGTTTTTTTTTAGATCTTCTATGTGTTGTCTGTATCTTGCTCGTTTGTCCATTATTATAATTATAAATTTTATTAAATTGAAACGCTTTACTGTAAGTAACTGTTAATACAACAGCGAAACATTTTAGTTGGATCATTTGTAAGTTTATCAAACAAGAAAAAGTTAAATTTATCTTTTGTAGCATTATGATTAAGTTCAATAAACTTATCTTTTGTCACGTCACCGCATTGTTCGCTTGCAATATTTCTAACGTCAACATTGTCCAGTCCTGGAAATAATATAAAACAACCCGTATTTCGCCGAATAAATCTGTCAACATTATAAAATCCTTGAGCGAGATAAACAGAATTACATTGTTTGTTACGTGACAGTGAGAAATACGATCTTATTTTGTTCATCTCCATGTTATTTAGCGGAATATCGTCAAAAACTACTATCTTATGTTCATCTGCATCAAGCTGATTAACTGGAATAAGATCTTCTGGCTGCCTAATTATAAAAAAATCTTCACCAGCCTTAAGTTCATCACGAAGCTTGTCATTATAATCGCTTAATAACTCATACTTATCTTGCTCTGGATTGATTGTGTAAATATAAACTCTGTCGTAGTTAAAATTATCACCAAGAAGCAAATTCATAAGCAAATTTGTTTTCCCCGATCCAGTTCGCCCAACAATAAGATAATGACAATCAGGAAGTTCATTGTTATGTTTGTGCTTCACTAGTCTCTCTGTATCAAAGTTTAATATCAACGATTTTGACATTTTATATAATATTAAACTAGTGTTGATAATTTTATCTAGGATAGTAAATAATGAACTACTATACAAAATTTGGAACACTATTAGGAGATTTATCCACAGGTGACTTATCCAAATATGCAACTCTTGATCGGCTCAAAAATGAAATCAATAATTTACTAAATCTTACCAGCGTAGATCCAGATGAAGTCGTCATTTTCCAAGACAAAGAAGGACGATTAAAGACGAGTAACGTAAAACTGTCAGATGTAGTTGTACGAAATCCAAGTGGGAATATTGCTATGACACAAAACAAGATTACAGATCTTGGAAACCCAACTGATGATGGGGATGCTGTAACTAAAAAATACGTCAATGATTGGGACGCTTCAATTACTAATGAAATCACAGCGCTCAAAACTGATTTTACCAGTCACGTGAACACATTTTTAAGTTTTCGCAGAAACATAAACAAAATTAGAGATGAATTTTTTGGAAATCCATCAAATATTAGCATTACACTCGCTAATATTAACACAAATCTCAATGATATTAACCATACTCGTTTTCTCAACAATATTAGGAATTCCACTAATAATATCATTGAGTTTTGTGTATACTGTTGCATCTGGTTATAGTGGATGGACATCACAAAACAAATCTATCAAATATATTGCAGAAGTTACCGGTGTGTATAGATTGTCAGTGTTTAGCAGTGTAAAGTTTAAAATATTTACCACATATTCATGGCGTTATTTAGATGATGACATATTTGGAATATTATTTGTAATATTAAACAAAAATTCTGAGGAGGAATTTACACTTGAACCAACTGATAAAAATTTTGTAGGTCCTTATCGGTGGTGTTTGGAATTTGTAGCTGATTTATCATAACTATGTAAACAAATATTATAATGAAAAGAAGTATAGTTGATTTTAATCACATTTCAAAAGATATTCCAGAAGAGGATGTGGACGCACTAATACAATACTATAAATATTATCATAAAAAACTTTGGTGTGTTAAAAAATGTTACAAATACTACAACAAGATCCTTCGAGTAATATCATATCTACCCTTGTTAATGACCAGTTCTGGTATAATTTCAAGTGGGGTATCATTAAATCCATTTTTGTTAATTATATCTGGTATTGGTGTTTCACTGACAGCGGCGTGTAAAAAAGTAGAACCAAGACTTTTGATAAAAAAGCATGGATGTTTAACATCAATTAAAACTTACAAGAAACTACTTGATCAGATCCGGTCTTACCTACAAGGAGTCAAATATAATATGGATGATTTATTACGTGAATTTCATATTATTGATAATATGTTAACAGACATTCTACCAATGAGGGTTAGCAAGTATGAAAAAAAATATCTAAAAAAAATATGAGTAACGTAAAAATTTATTTAAACTTAAGATATAATATAACTAAAATAATATCACTTACCTTCATCATTTTCATTCTAGTGCTAATTTAATTTCCACCTTGTTAACTGAAACGTTCTAATAGTGTGGGAGGGGGTGGTGGGCCAAAATCCTCATTTCCCTGTTTTGGAAACCCTCATTTAATTTATACTTGTTTGGAGGGTAAAAAAAAATGAAGTGAGCCAAAATCCTCATTTCCTAATACTGATGATGATGATGATGATGATGATGATGATGATGATGATGATGATGATGATGATGATGATGATGATGATGATCGCGCGTATTTTCTAGATTTTTAACTAACATCAAGACCTGCAGCAATTCCATCTAGAGAATGAGAAAGAGCGAAATTTGAGATCTTTAGCTTTTTGATAGGTTTTAATGGCACCTTTCAAGAATTACTGGCTATATCATACACTGGAAGTAGGAGCTAAGTGTTTTTCTCCAAATACCGACCTAGGAAGTCTACTCAGGCTTGCCTGTGCAAGTATAGAACTGGCGATGCTTAAATTACAAGTACATGTACAATGCTCTGCTAAAAGAGCTAGTGCGACCTTAGGAAAGAAACAACAACAACAACATCTACTATGACTACTACTACTACTACTACTACTACAACTACTACTACTACTACAACTACTACTACTCATAAACTTAATCATATGAATGACACGTTGGTGATGCAAGGAAGACAATGCTGGACGTTAATTGCTTTTAAAAATTGTATACAACACCCTTTCGAAAGACACTCGCAACACACCTGCTGAGTTTACATTATTTAAAAAAATAAGAATACGAATATGTTATTACTATTTCTTTGAGAGTGAACTACAATACACTTGTTGAGATAGTGTCTGGTTTCAGCAGGTTTGGTTCGCTGTCGACCCAGGTAATGCGATATTCCTTATAATGTGGGGAAGTAGTTTTATAGCAGTACAAAATACGTCACAGTGAAAATCGAATCTGATTAGGACGACAAATGCTGACTATAGGTGTCACACATTGAAATACAGGGTAATATAGAACTGGTTAATGTTTCTTCTACTCCTTGTAAGAATTGTTGATGACACAACGGCTGTAGTATAGGACTGATTACAATGACCAAGGACGACCGAATTCTATTTTTCCTCCAGGGGTCACTTTAATAATAATTAACACTTGATCTAATCTCGTCTTAAGATATTTTCTTTATATATTCGTGTACGCTGTTGTGTACAAAGAGGATAATATTTACTGTTTTGATATGGAAATCAAATTTTGTACTTCCTTAGCAATGTTGATTAAGCTTTTCTTTCTTTAACTTTGTTAGACTCCAATATTTAGAATTGTCGATGTTTTATGCATAGTGTGTTTATTAAATGCTTTATGTACATTGTTGTAGTTGTATTTAAAATGTCAACTTCAGACTTAAGTAAAACTAATATGTAATAATTTCCTACTTTTTCCGGTTCATAAGCAATGGGATGTGTACTGCATCCTAAATCTCACCTTCACATTTATCCATACTAAGCACTTGTTCTTGCTATTTTCGTTCCTGTCTATACCTTAGTGTCAACTTCTGTACACATTTGTAAATGTCCCCTCTAATGGGTTATGTAGTTTTGGAAGATAAATTGTAAAGATACTTGACAGACATGACAAATAGCCAAGATGCATTGTATTTCTTTCAAGTGGTATAATTAAGACGAAAACCAAAGAAAAGGCGCGATAAACAATACATAATAAAAGACCCAACCCCTCCAAAATTCAGAAACAAATATATAAAAACACAACCCCAAAAACAAAACAAACAAGCAACCAATACATGTTGATACCGATAATTACATCTTTAGTAACATATACAAACCATTAGTAAAATGTGCAGCATATTGGTTCATCCTAGTACATCGATAAATAAAACGTTTAACTTTCAGTGGTGAATTTTAAACGCAATATGGACACTAAGCAAATATGTCAAGCTTCATCTAATTATCTTCAACGGTGGTTAAGTTATAGAGAAACGTAAATGTGACTAAAACTTAAACTATTGACCTTTACTCTTGACCTGAAACTTACAGTATTGACCTTTAATCTTGACCTGAAATTTAAACTATTGACCTTTATTCTTGACCTGAAACTTAAACTATTGACCTTTACTCTTGACCTGAAACTTAAAGTATTGACCTTTACTCTTGACCTGAAACTTAAACTATTGAACTTTACTCTTGATCTGAAACATAAACTATTGGTATATGCCTTTGAGACCGCTCCGGTGGTCTAGTGGTCAGAGCGTCTGCCTCGGATGCGAGAGGTCGTGGGTTCGATAACCGGCCGAATCATACCAAAGACTTACAAGAATGGTACAGTAGCTGCCTCGCTTGGCGCTCAGCATGAAGAGGTTAGAGTTAGGAATGCTGGGCCTGGGGTCAATATAATGTGACTTGGTGGGACATCATACTACATGTCTACGGCATGATGACCCATTGCTAGACATCACTATAAACTGCCACGCTGTGGACATTGTAGCGATATGACTGAAAAATTGTTAAAGCTAAGTTAAGGATCCATATCACACAAATCTATGCCTTTGATCATGATAAAAGGACCTCTACTGTGTGAAATTCAACACCCAATTTAGTAATGATATTTAAGTATGTCAATGAAAGAAGAGACGCAAATGTCTTGAAAACAAAGAAATATTAGGACAAAATCAATCATGCCTATGTAAAACAGAAGAAGCAATACATTTTATTTGTTTCTTTGTTTTACAAACTAATCCACATGGTGGAAGACAGAGTAAGTTTTGTTTCCAAGAGTGCTCTGAATCTGTCAAGGGAACAAAATTCGAAATACTCTTTACTAAATTTTTGACGTTTCTATTCTTTTCTATGCAAATCTACTTTGAATATGTACACAATGTTATCTAAATTATATTTATATATACATTTCTGTGCAAACTAAAGTCATCTGCTACAATTAACACATTACCTTTCCATTCATATATTCCCAATTTGATCATCGTGTCTTACTTAGAAGAAGACGGTCAATGACGAATCAGACTAGCACAGATCACAATGGGGAAAAATCGGAGTTATTCCAAACGATTTACGTGTGCAATCGCAACATGTAATTAACGACAGGAGTACGTAACCAGAAGAGATTCGAAAGGTCAGCGAACAGGAGCACAAAAACATGGGTTAAAAAAGTGCATCCGAGTTCGTTACGTACAAGTGCAACGATGTCTCGAAAATTTCGCAATACTGTTTCATCTAATTCTTATTTATCTTCCGCCACAAAGAATGTTTCGAAAACATTTAAGCGCGCCCAAACAAAGCAATAGAATAACTCATTTATCTTTTACTTTTAGTTTTAATAAATAAATAAATTAATTTGTAAAATGTATGCTTTACAAGAGTTGCATACTATATATATATATATATATATATATATATATATATATATATATATATATATATATATATATATATATATATATATATATATATATATAAATAAATATATATATATAAGATGTATACATACATACATACATACATACATACATACATACATACATACATACATACATACATACATACATACATACATACATACATACACACACACACACACACACACACACACACACACACACACATACATACATACATACATACATACATACATACATACATACATACATACATACATACATACATACATACATACATACATACATACATACATACATACATACATACATACATACAAATTACTTCTTAGCTATTCTTAGTGTACATTAATTTGAAATATAATGTAATATTCACAATTGTAGTCGCTGACAAGCAGTACAATCAGCACTGTTTACTTATGCATTCTACTACCATACAAAGTTCTGGTAAGTAAATCAAAGATTGATGATAAAACTACCGTATGAAATCCTGTCGAGTCTGTCCAAGTAAGGTCAATAAGGTTCCTCTAGAACCACCCTTGGGTTTGTAATTTACATCAAGTGATACAAGTCGGTCAAGCATTCACGCCTACAGACATATTGAAATTTATTTCTTTTTGCTCAGAGTTTGAGGAAACTGTAATTTAGACTTTATTTACACCAGAACCATTTTCGTCATAAAGCTAAAACGTTGAAATCATTGATATTTAACGTATGCATAAAAGTCATAAAATCTGACAAGTGCCTAATTTGGATACACTTTGTGCCAATAATGGATAAACCAATGCAATTTGTGATGCTTCCTTTCATCAGGCTAATGAAGGATCGACCACTTACATTTCGGGGAGGGGGGGGGAACTGTGAATATCTATATATCCAAGATATTCTTTGTTTTTTAAAACTCAGAATAACTTTTTAAACTATTGTAATAAACATAATTATATTCTTTTTATACGCCCAAAGCAATAATATTGCTTTGTGTCAGGCTATTAGGATGAAGAGCCGGATTAGTTGTTAGAACATAGTCCTTACGTTATCCCTCTCTCCTCCCTAAACTCGAGTCCAGAATTTACACATGGTTATAGTCTCCCTTCCCCTCAGCCTTTTGCCTACCTATCTAATATTTATACCTTGTTCCAGACAGACACACAAACTGAAAAACATGCATACATATAAACATACAATGGAGCTGTTGCATGGACAGATGAAAGATGTACCGTTAAATGACATGAAAAAGTATACTTGTTGTGGATTGACCATACCGTTCGGACCTCAGGTGGCATAAATGTAGAGGAATAGAATTATTTACCTGTAAAATGGCATGAAACACTAACCTTAGAATCGTCAACCAATGGTAATGGAAGAAGAAGAAGAGGCAGAAGTATCACAATAAGAGGGTTTTTCCAGCGACATAGGGATCTACAACAGCCCAGGAAGCCCATGATTATCCACGTACCGTGCTGCAGAGATTCGGTCCAAACACTGAATGTCCCAAATACAAATGCGTGTACATGCAAATCTGGAATATGAGTGTTTACATCACGTGACCTAGTCTAATCCTTGACAGATATTCATTTACGGTTAATATATTGCATCTTGACGCTGACCCGATGGCCTTTAGTGCTAATTTTTACACGGAGCACACTGTGCATGCAATTAGATAATCCAATGTATGTATATGTATATATATATATATATATATATATATATATATATATATATATATATATATATATATATATATATATATATATATATATATATATATATATATATATATATATATATATATATATATATATATATGTTTATGTGTGTGTGTGTGTGTGTGTGTGTGTGTCTGTATATATATATATATATATATATATATATATATATATATATATATATATATATATATATGTATATATATATATATATATGTATATATATATATATATATATATATATATATATATATATATATATATATATAGCTGGTATTTATTACACATCTCTTGGCTATATGAACATTTGTAATGTTTGCACAAGTATTACACTTATCTACAGTGTGCACATAACTGTACAGAGAGAGAGAGAGAGAGAGAGAGAGAGAGAGAGAGAGAGAGAGAGAGAGAGAGAGATCTTTATATGCGTGACTGTAAAGGATTTTCTGCTTTATATAATTTACTCCCATTGTAAATCATACTGCTTTTTTGTATGTATCGGTGAACCGAGACAATAGTTGCAAAAGATATATACCGTACATTGGCTGTGTATCATTTTACCGATGCAGCCAACACGAACCGCGTCTTTTAACGTTAACGACAACGTATTGGATGAGTAACTCATCTGACAGCGATTGTAATGTATCTCATTATATTTAGAAATTATCACATGGTGTTGTTAACATGTCTAGAGAGAGAGAGAGAGAGAGAGAGAGAGAGAGAGAGAGAGAGAGAGAGAGAGAGAGAGAGAGAGAGAGAGAGAGAGAGAGAGATGTTGCTGTGTATAACATATCATTATATGCGTGTCTGTAAAGAATATACTGTTTTATATAATTTACTTCCATTGTAAATCGTATTGCTTTATTTGTGTTTAACTCTGAACCGAGAACGGAATAATTGCGGGTACGACGAAGGCTGGTGACAGAGTCTGTGTACACAAATTTCTGTTCACACAAAACCATAATAACAGAATCGTGTCCATAATTTGATAACGCTTGGCAATAGTTGCAAACGATAAATGAGGTAAATTGGCTGTGTATCATTTTACCGATGCAGACGACACGGAACAATTCCGTTGCGGTTAATGACAATGTGTTGGAAGTGTTTTGTAGAATTACTGGCTTATAACAAAACGATTTGCATACAAAGTCTGCAGTCATGCATTAAACTTTAGAATAAATTATTTTCTTCTTCAGACTTTGACATTTAAAATTCGACGCTAACATGCATTGTACACGTCACATTTTGAACACAAACACACACTTGTATATATATATATATATATATATATATATATATATATATATATATATATATATATATATATATATATATATATATATTAAGAATTTTACATTCATACTCTACGGAGATTCGAATCCAGGTCTGCGGTCAAAACGGCACCCATCGTCTTGCCTGCACACACCAGCCCATATTCCATAATGACCATGTAGACATCATGAAATGGTTCTACTTAGTTGGTGTTATGTACACTCGTGTGTAGCAGACACAATTGCATGACGTCCGAATAATTAATTGTCATCTATCTACACGGTCTACACGGTCATTTCTATGAAAGAAATCAAGGCATATAGGATTAATTAAAGAGAATTATAAATATTCACCAGACCGAACGGAAATTGCTATTTTCAGATTCTGTAGGAGAATATTATTTCGGCCTTCTATTATCTGGCATGTTATGCTTACGATAATGTAAGTGATATACGTATGATGCGGTCAGTATGATGCTTTTTAAACGATTATTGTAATGCTAATGATATGATCAACTGCAGAAGTCGTGGTAGTAAACGCTAATAATAGCAGATTTTATATCTTATAAATTTCAGAAGATATATACGTAATGATATATCTGCTATATTTTATAAGATACGTCATATAGAATTTGTTTAATATATGTAATAAATTATCGAGATTTTTAAAACATTGATAACATATCAGTTAAATTAGACTGCTAAATATTATTTTTTGTAAAGGAAAAAAAATTGATTAATAATCATAAGAATTAATTGATATATGCATTTTATTTGATGAATAAGAAATAGTAATGGTTTCCAGTTATATTTTATAAGTCTACTAAATTTGCTTGAAACATACATTAAAAGTCTGTTTGGATCTCTTATAATGTAGCTTAATTTGAGTTTTATTATAAGATATTTAATAT